ATGTTTCGTCCATAGTAACAAAACGATTCAAAAAATCATCTGCATCGGCTTCAAATAACTCCAAACAGTCGCGTGAAATAGTCAATCGCGTCCTTTTTTGTTCAACTGAAAGCAGTCGCGGAACCCACCTCGCAGACACCTTGTGGAAACCCAACTCGTTGACAATGATGTTTTGAGTTCGTTCATAAGATATGCCTATAATCTCGGCTATCTCTCTAATTTTTAATCTGCGGTCTCCCATTATTAAATCAAGTACTTTTTTAATATTTTTGTCAGTAGTTGACGTCGAAGGCCTTCCAGAGCGGGGTTCATCTTTCACACTCTCTCTACCACGCTTAAATTCTACTATCCACTTTTTGACGGATGAATATGACAGAGCACAATCGCCTAATGTACTGACCATGTCATCATGGATGGCTTTTGATGATAGCCCCTTCTTATGGAGGTACTTAATGACGGCACGCTGCTCGATTTGCTCCATTCGCGGAAATTATGTCCGATTACTTTGTTAATAAATTTATAAAATCACAACTAATTATCGCACACGTTTCGAACTTCACACAATGAACTAGTCTGAACTGAACTAAATAATGTGGGTAGATGTGATTTTTAGAAGTGAATGGATCTGTGTTAGGCCGAGTACTTTTCAATCCACCCTCGTATCTTTGTGGTTGGGCATTTAGTGGTAACGCTCAAATAAATGTTCCGGGTATTGGTGTTCCCTCTATATTTTTGTCCAAGTGTGGGAACATTTATTTAAGATTAAAATTTCTGTGTACGAAAAATTTTAAGTGCCTAAAATACCTAACTCTAGTCTCTAGTTCTCGGATAAGAAAGCCTAATTTGTTATAAAATGTTTATAAAATTAATAAAAATAAAAAAGAATTGGTTGATAAAGCAAATTTTTACTATCTATATTTTTTTTAATCTATCTAAGTACATATTATACAAGTATATATTATAAAGTTTTAATAAAAATTTTTTGATCAGTATAACCAAAGAGTCATGTCCAGTTTTGACCTGAAAATTTTCTAACGCGTCTAGTGATGTATAATATCTTATAAAATTGCATATATTTCTTATTTCGTATCGCATAATTGAATTTTCAAATGAAGCCAGGAAAAAAGTAATGTTAATTTGTTTATCATTCTCAATGGACAATGGATGTTTTACAATGGCTCAAAGGCCTAGAAGCCATGCCAAAATATATTAAAAACGTGTTTTACACGTTCCGTTTCAAACTCCGTAAAACTTGTTCATTCGTCATGCGGTTTATGAATGTTCAAAACAACTAATTAATTTTTTATAACTTATAAATTTATGATTGGATACGATTTTTAATGGTTTTATACTATGGTGTGGAAAGAAAAATAGGTGTACAGACCTTATCTGACAGCTGTTACAACCTCAATGTATGGAAAGTGGGCATGATTCTTTATTTAATCAGTTAATACCTAAAACTGTTCATACTTTTTCTTTTTAATAGCCCATGATAGTTCACAACCAGACATGGGCCTCCCCCGTTGCAGGAAGGATTTGCCTGCAACGTTACGCTTGGTTGACGTTGTTTTCCGCGCCAATCTGTTTACTACAGTTTATATTTGGCATATAAGAGACGGTTATATCGCCATCTGTCGGAGGTTATGTAATCATTTATTAGAAGCTTTTTAAGACTACACGGGAAGAAATTGGGCGATGAATTTCCTTCCGCAGCCATAACACTGTAGTTAGTTAGAAAATCGAAATTTTACACAAACACACACACACGTGCAAAAACACACACATATATATATATATATGTTGTCTCGTTTTCAGCTCGATTGAGTGGGGCTTGTGCGTATTACTATATAAAACTAATACGTAATAGTTTTTTTAATAATAGTTTTATAAAGTAATATGTATAAAATTACATACTGTTTTAACATAATAAAACAATGTTTAATCACTCTATGCAATCAAATAAAATTTCAAGATTATTTGTTCCAAAAATAATTTGTAGTAGAATTTTGTAGACTCGGTTCATGCATATGCTGTCCTGCTGATGCGATGATGACATTCTTCTCCGTGGTGATCAGATATGCTCTACAGGTCTTGACCTTCGAGCAGTACCATCGCCAGCCGTGTTTCAACGGATACGGGTATTTGGAGTACGTGTAATTCTTGTACATTAGCAGGGTCCGTCCACGTTTCGACATCACTTCCATTGCTGTTGAAAATATTAGAATCGTTTACTATTGTACATATATTACGAAATATTTGAAGTTAATTTTTGTATTAATTTTGATCTGTTGTTTAAAATGAGCTAAAGCCTAAGGGACAAGATTTTTAATTACTTGATTTCTTCGAATAATACAAAATATAATTTGACGGATCGATAGCGCAGTGGCAAACTGGCAAATCACCAGATTTGGATTGTCCGTGTTTAATTTATCTATGTAAAAGGCCATCCGTGAGACAGGAAAAAAACTCCCTCCTAATTTGGTAGAATTTTTACAAAAATAAAAATTGAGGAGTTGATTCGTGTTTTTTTTACAGCATTGGGTGAGAATCGAGCACACTGTTCACCTGGTGGTAAGTGGATGATGTGGCCCGTAAAGTCTACATTTATCCACAATTAAGAATTATTTTTTTTTTGAAAATTGTGTTCCAACAATGTATTTAAAGAAAATAAAGATTTTTGATTGTTTTAATAAAAATGCTTTGTCACCTTTGAGGACTTAGATGGCTCGATTCCAGTAAAAAGGGTCTCCGGTTTTCTACACTTACCATACGAAACACAGCAGCATTAAGCTGCTATTTTACGCCATACGTGCTACAACTATAACATACCTGTAGCGCGGCTTTACCACGTAAAAAACGTTTGTTAATTAATAAATTATTGTTCTACCCCAACAACAAAATAAGCAATTTTTATTATTAAAAATACGAATAAATCCACTGCAATAAGTTGTAATATCTGATTAAAAAAAACTGTTAAGTCTAGTCTATTAATAACCAATCTATAAACTGAAGAAGAGCCTGACTAAATCAATTATTTATCACGATACTATAAGTTAATACATGTTACGAATATCATTTTGTAATCTTATTTTCGTAGAAAAAAATCTGTTAAAAATGTTGTCTTTGTAACTGTCATTTATTGAAGTTGATTATCAAAAACATTTTATATGTACAAAACATGCAAAGGCCTTATAACATAACAATTTAAAATTATTCATGTTTTTCGGATATTTCCGATTACACAGTTAAAAAAATTCGATTAATGTAAACGTGATGAAGTAATACAAGTTATTTCGCTTACAGTACAATGTATTAAAATAACTTAAATTAAATCTTACGTAGATGAAATGGATGATAATAGAAAAAAACTAATGTACAAAAGCTTTAATGGTCTTAGCTTTAAGTCAACTATATTACAAACATGCACCAAACAACTAAGTTAATATCTACCTAAATTATGTTCCACGCAAATACCACTAAACTGATGCCAACAAGGGAAGAAAGACAGAGCACTGCTTATATTTCAAGTAGTGAAAAATCAAGCCAAAATCACGTAACTTCATGCACCCAAAATCATTTGCAGCCTACAATAAAACTTCTACAGGACGATAAAGAAAGAAAGAAGATAGGTGATGTTTGTGTAAGTGCAATATGTGTGTGTAAGATGTAAACTTTTAGTCTTATAGCAAAAATTAATTTATAAATTTTAGCCAGTGGTCAGAGATACTCTGTTTCAATACATAGTTAAGGAGGGTATACTATTCCACCTCAATTTGAGGCGATTTTTTTTTCAATTGCACGGAATTGTTGTTTTCACGGACGTTTTTTATATTCTTTGATGAAATACGAGTAAAAAGGTCCCATGACTTTTTACGATAAAGTTAATATTTTCGGAGTTATGAATATTTAAAGGTTTGAAAAATCCCAAATTCGAACACTTTTTTGACTCATTATAAATATATAAAAAGAATAAAATATAAAAAATGTTAATTTTTTAATTTTTTAATAAAATACGAATGAAAAAGGTCCTGTGACTTTTTACGATAATCTAAATATTTTCGGAGGTATGAATTTTTAAAAGTTTGAAAAATACCAAATTCGGATACTTTTGACTTATTAAAAATATATAAAATAATTTTCACCTTTTTATTTGTATTCCATCAAAAATATTAAAAAAAATTCCCGTTTGAAATTAACAATTTCATGCATTTGAAGAAAAATCTGTTTAAACAAAATGCCACCTAATTGCCCCATGGCAACATGTATTTATATAATCAGTATAGGACAATTTGAAAAGAATCGCATAAAAAATCTGCTTAAACAAAATGCCACCTAGTTGCCCCATGGCAACATGTATTTATATAATCAGTATAGGACAATTTGAAAAGAATCGCATAAAAAAATCTGTTTAAACAAAATGCCACCTAGTTGCCCCATGGCAACATGTATTTATATAATCAGTATAGGACAATTTGAAAAGAATCGCATAAAAAATCTGCTTAAACAAAATGCAACCTAGTTGCCCCATGGCAACATGTATTTATGTAATCAGTATAGGACAATTTGAAAATAATCGCATAAAAAAATCTGTTTAAACAAAATGCCACCTAGTTGCCCCATGGCAACATGTATTTATATAATCAGTATAGGACAATTTGAAAGAATTGCATGAAAAAATCTGTTTAAACAAAATGCCACCTAATTGCCCCATGGCAACATGTATTTATATAATCAGTATAGGACAATTTGAAAAGAATCGCATAAAAAATTACGATGGAATAGTTTTCGGTACTAATGTGCCGATTCCTCCTGGACTAAAAGAAATCAAGTGGAAATATTTCGCACTAAAATGTAAAGTATAGAATTTCACAGCAATTGTCGAATTTTGTGAAGATGTGGAGCCGCGGTTATGAGCCGTCCTTCGTGACCAATATTCTTCTTTAAACCAAAGACTATCAATAAACTACGTTTTGCAACAAGAACTAAGACGTGACTAAACCTTAATCAGATTCCAACACTAAAGGTTCTCTTAAGGCGCCAAGTACGTGATTCGGATTTAGATAATATTTTGGCGGGTCATGACAGTGTTCTTCGAAAGCTGAGGTTATAAAGTTATCGTTGTTTGTGAAAACGCATCCGCGACAGTTCTTCATAGTGGAGCACACCCAACGGGACCTGGTGCCTTTGTTGTATTGCTTGCGGTATGTGTACTTGCGGAATAGCAGCATTTCTTTCCCTTTCCGTGATGTTATGACTACTGCGGAGTCTGCAAATTTAAATGTATATTAAAACATACTATATATTAACCCGACGTATATTAACCCGATACGACCTGGGGACCTTCAAGAAAAGAGCTTACTCCTATCTAAAGGGCCGGCAACGCACCTGCAATTCCCCTGGTGTTGCGGTTGATCATGGGCGGCGGTAGTCACTTAACATCAGGTGAGCCGCATGCTCGTTTGCCCCCTCTTCTATAAAAAAAAATACGAGTATTAGCTAACAATCAGGTCCACATATTTTTTATAAAATTCTTTTATCCTGTTTTAAGGCTAAACTATCAGAGATTGTTATTTTTTTAACAAATTAAACAAAAGGTAGTAGTTTTTTGAAGCCAGCTTTGACATAGACGTAAAATACCCTGACCGACGACTGGAGCAGCGTCACTGCTGTGAGAGTTGCTACGAGAGCCAAGACGCGATAATTAAGGCATATCTGCTTGTTACTGATGTTTGGTACTGCGATTACAAACTCGACTTCTAAGCGTAATGATTAAGGGCGAAAATTGTCTACAACAGGAGAGGTCAATGTTGAGCAGTGGACTTTCATATGCTGACGGTGGATTCGACATATCATAACGTGCACCACATGTAAGTTTGAATGGCATTTGAGTGTCGTTTATTCTCTGTTACACACACCACAGTTCAACTTTTCAGTAATTTCTTCAGTAATTCTTATTATAGTCACTATGAATTATATGGGATCTCGACTCACCATTTTCATTGGGATAAATATCTTGAAGCTGTTTATGCTTTTTATGATCATGGCGCTGATTCATCATAAGAATATCGTTCTTATCGCTTAAATCCACATATGCATTACATTGCTTAACGGAACAGGTCCACCTTGTCTTATCCTTGAATCCATGGGCTTTGTGGTATCTGTCACCATTGTACTGTAAAATCGTCTCTCCCCGTTCTGTTTCTAAAAACAAAAGAACCGTGTGATCGTTTTCGCTTTCACTATCTTCTGCGTATTCTTCTAAAACTTCTAAGTATTGTTCTATCGTAGATGTCTCATCACTTTCCTCAGGACCTAAAACCAAAAACGTTATATTTCTGTAGAAAATTCATAAAGAAATATAATCGATAGGTGATAATTGAAATAAATAAAAGACAAATACGGGACCCACCCCAAATTCAACAAAAAAAACCCCCACACATCATAAAAAGATACAAAAAAGAACACAAGAAGAAAAAAAAAAAAAAAAAAAAAAAAAAACCCAAAAAAAAAAAAAAAAAATTAAATCTTTTTAATCTTTAGACTCCTCACTTATTATGTAATATGAATAAATGAGAAATATTTCTGTAAAATGTTAATGATAATTCAAATGAAAAACATTTCCAGGATATATAGGCGTAAAAGAACAGTCTCTATGAGACCACAGCAGTAAAAATAAAAACAATAATTTCATGATTTCTTATATGTACGCTAACACTACACATCGAATCAAACTAACTTTTACCGGATTTTATCCCGTTTCATTAGCTGACTTTTAATTTTATATTCACGACGATTTACGTTTTTTTTAATATAGAATAAGGGTGAAAATCGAGCACACAATTTACCTAATGGTAAGTGGATGCTGTAGGCCATAGACACATTTATCCTCGATTAAGAATCAAAACGCAGATGCGTTGTCACCCCTGAGGATTAAGATGGAATGCCTCGTTTCCAGTGAAAAAGGATCTCCGGATCTCTACACTCACCATACGAAACACAGCAGTATTAAGCTGCTATTTTACGGTGGTATTCTGAAAGAGCGTGGTCCTTCCCCGGTCGAGCCGACCCATTCGTGCTACAACCTAAACTGAAAGCAGCGTAACACATAAATAACACAATTTATATGTCAACAAATATATTTACTGCTTTTCAAAATATTCTACATTACATTTTAATTATTTTTCATTTAAACCATTTTTGAAAACGTCAGGAGCATTAGTCATGTTTTCACGTGCTGGTGTGTGCTATGAATGCTATCATGGCTTCTTCCGGCTTCGTAAATGTCAAACCTCCCATCAAGTCTTTGATTTTTGGGAAAACAAATAAATCGGATGACGCAAGGCCTGGACTGTGTGTGGGACAGCTTACGAGCTCCACCTTTTCAGAAGCCAAAAATGCCTGTTCGCGGAGTGCGAAGCATTGTCATTTTGCAATAGACCAACACAGACCAACGGCAGATGAAAGAGGGGAAGCCATACGTAGGCGTTCCCGTCTGTTAAAGCATAAATCTACACGTTCCTATGCGTACAATAAAACTAGTTGTACAAGCACTTATCAAGAGACTAAATCTAGTTGCCATTATTGCTATTTACTTCTTTTTACATCTAAACACAAAAATTACAATAATAACTGTCGTGTTGTTTCGGATTTGTTTACTAACACAGGCCGCTCGCCCTCATACAATATGCAGATCGGTCGAGCGATAGATCCGAATTTGTATCCGAGATGTCGCTGTCACCGAACAACACTATTGTAATGTATGTGTGTGAAAATGTTAGTTTATTGTTTTAATTAATATGTGTGAGTTTCGTACTGACAGACTTATATAAGAGTGCGCAGATTTTCTCCCGTAAAAATGACAGACAGTTTTGTATCGGGGAAAAACGCTATGGCTACTCCTCTCCGTTACGTCGGTGGCCCGTGTTGCTCTTTTTTTCTCTAACTTATTCAAAGACACTGGGCAAAAAAATTGCGGTGTACCGCTCAGCATTGACTGTCTTATATTAAGTGTGATGAGAAAAAAAACGCAATCATTTTTGCCTACGCTTCTTGCCTGTCTACATTTTATTGGTTTGCAGTCGCGTTCGAACATCCATACATAAGACTGTTGCTTCCTCTCTAGAACATAACAATATATATATCTATGTTTCATCTCTTCACAAGGCCACAATGTTATACACAGCATTGGAAGTGCGTCTTCATATTTCCCAATTTTTTTCCACCATTCAACCCGATCCCCGGGTTCGATTCCCGCCGGCACCAATGACATTGTTAATTGCAATTTTAAGTGCTGATTTACCACGTGCTCGGCAGTGAAGGAAAACATCGTGAGGAAACCTGCATGTCTGAGGAATAAGAAGAAAAATATTTCGAAGACATGTTAAGTTCGCCAACACGCATTGGGGCAACGCGGCGGACACTGCCTTGCCCTAAAACCCTCTCAGAAATGAGGGGAGGCCTGTGCCCAGCAGTGGGGTTGTTCTGGGATATTTGGGAATCTAGCGGCGACAAAGTTTTCTAACTTTTAGATGTTGATGTACAATTTTATAATTTAGATACAACATACAAATATACAATTGTCCTCGAATCTCCTCATAGGTGATGCGCTGGTTTTCTTCAATTAGTCACCCGAAAGTAGCCACATTTTCCTTAATGATCGTAGTTGAGGATCGGCTTTCGCGAATTTTATCATGGAGAGAAACTGAGATTCGGAAATTCTGCGCCTTACCGTGCTTTAATTCCATTTTTGCTATGGATGACAAACTTAGACTTACGATACAAAACAATTGACACGCACATCTCACCAAAAATTATTTTTATTTATGTATTGTGACTTTCTGGTTATAAAATATATGACATTCGAAACCAGATATTTATAAGCGGAAAAGAACGCAGAACTTTCAGTATGCCATATGTATTTGATAGACTAGAAATTCTCGCAAAAGTACACCGCTTCTTACCAAGGATGATTCACGTAGCTATTGAAATCCAAAAACATCCTAATTCTAATAGAGAAACTAACTGGGTACTACTTAAAATCCTATAATTAATAAAATTAAATTCCAACCCAAACATACAATAAGTTTCTTCTGCGTAGATTGGACCAAAAATTAAAGATTTTACGTTGAAGATAGCCGTGATTAACTATGAGATTAGGACATTGAATACATCAGTCCTTCCGTGACTATGTGTGCTGCAAAATACTCGGAACGTCGGAAATAAAAAATAAGCTAATTTAACGCAAAAAAATTCGTAAAATCTAGTTTGTTTTCAAATATATTTTAAGTTGCAAGTTCTTAAAAGACTACATAATTTTCTCTTTTTTTAGAAACGTTAACCCTACACTAGGATTTTCTCCTGTATCGTGGGGGCAGTTTACAAACATAAATTGCACAAGGACAAACATCCAGACCCGGAACAATTATTTGTAGGTCATACAAATACTTGTTCCGTGCGGGATTCGAACCCGCGACCCGCGCAGCCACTCATTGCTAAGCCACTGCGCCACGGAGTCATCAACATTCGACAGAGGATAGGCTCATGATTATGCGAATTTGCCATTGAGACATCCTCAAACATGTTGTTAACATGTACATACACTTTACGTTTACTTTGATTCAGCTCGCTGCAGGACCATCCTGTGTCGCTGTTTATACAAAAAATTCTTTTTTTGAAAATATATCCATTAACAATCAATAAAATTTTGCCAGACGATAAAGTAATGACTGCAACTATAAACAAACATAGTTTGAATACTGAAGTTTGTAAAGGATAAGTCCATATAAATATTTTTTACATGAATGTAACTATAACAGAGGATAATACACAACACTAAAAGAAAAAATTCCCAATAATTGCTTCTTGGGAGGATATTTGCATAGTGCCACTTCCAAGCAGGACACATAAAAGAAACCCACCATCTCTGGTTGGATTCGTTTGGTCACCTCTTATGAAACCCAAGGGACGTTGGGATATTCTTACATCGCCACTACGCGATCAAGTGTAATTGTAAGGGTTAAGTGTATCGGCGTTTTCGAATGCATAATCAGTCAGTACGGTCGTCATTCTCATTTCTTGATGGACAGGACTTTGCTGCTTCCAGTGTGAACAATTACACTGTCGACTGAATTGCTGCCTGCTGTTTATTGCTAAATGCTGCCGCCGCGCTGCCCTCTTAGCAATGAGAGAAGGCCTGTGCCCAGCAGTGGAAAGTTAAGTTTCATTTTAAATGTTTGAAAATTAACTTTGTTTCTCTCCCATATTTTCATAGAAGGGTGGCGGGCGAACGAGTATACCGTATATCTGTAGGCGTTATTTTTTAATAGAATAAGATTGACAAACGCGCACACAATCCACCTAAGGTTCGTAGACATCTACATTTATTCTCGCAGAGAATATAAATGCAGATGCGTTGTCACCTCCGTGAACTAAGAATTAAATGCCTTGAATAAAACTATATTAACGGATTTTATCGCGTTTAATAGTTTTTAATTCCACACGTTTCGGGTGCCAGTGATGACTTACGGATCAGAGACGTGGTCCTTCACTGCTGGCCGTATGAGGACGCTCAAGTTCGCTCAGCGAGCTATGGAGAGGGCTATGCTCGGAGTTTCTCTGCGTGATAGACTCAGAAATGAGGATATCCGCAGTAAAACCAGAGTGACCGACATAGCCCAACGGATTAGTAAGCTGAAGTGGCAATGGGCCGGCCATATAGCTCGAAGAACGGATAACCGATGGGGAAGAAAGGTTCTCGAGTGGCAGCCTCGTACCGGTAGGCGTAGTGTAGGGCGACCCCCCACTAGATGGAGTGACGACCTGTTAAGACATGCAGGAAGTCGATGGATGCAGGTGGCTCAGGACCGTGCTTTGTGGCGTTACTTGGGGGAGGCCTATGTTCAGCAGTGGACTTGTGAAGGGCTGTAATGATGATGACGTTTCGGGTGCTTTACAGCACCCATAGTCACGGGGGACTGAGATGTTTGACGTCCTGACGTGGGTTGATGTGGGAATCAAAAACTAAGTTAAAATAGTTACAGTAGTTACTTAAACGCGATAAAATCCGTAAATATAGTTTCATTCAATGTGTAGTGTTCGCGTAAATTTATGTAATCATAATTAAATGCCTCTTTTCCGGTAAAAAGCGTCTCTGGTTCTTCTACTCACCATATAGCATTAAGCTGCTATTTCACTCTGGTATTATGTGAGAGCGTGGACCTACGCCCGTCGAGGTGACCCATTTGGGCAACAATCATAATATAGCTGCAGCGTGGCTCTACCACGAAAACAGTGGATGCATGACACCTACATCC